AGTCAGTGAGAAAGCATGAGTGATTTTTAAAAATTGGTTCATAACAACTTTACAGGTATGTGGTTGAGCCCTTTACTGAACACCTTCCAGATCTTATCTCATTAGTGCATGTAAGACCATCAAGGAATCATAAGGGTAATCAGAAAATCTATAATCAGAACTAGTCTCTGGACACTAACTGGATCCCAGGTGCCTAGTCTTTGTGATGACAAATAATGATGGTAACTTGGGGGCATTTGTAATAGATCCTTTAGCATTCACTTGGGAACACGTGTTTAGTGGAAGTAAACATGTTGAAATTTTCAGTTCAATTTATTAGTCTAAAGAGGATGGAATTCTGTGCAAGTAAACCTGGGACCTTATTAACTACCAATGAGACTCTTTGAATTTCCATTTCTTCATTGTTAATGCAGATTTCTTCACAGAGTTGTTACAAGATTTAAAAGAACTAGTATTTGTAGTATAGTGGCTTGTACATATAAGCATGTAGTTATGATCATAACAAAATAATTGAGCAGCTACTATATTCAGCATTGCTGCAAATACTGGGCACGAAACAGTACAGAAGACCAAGTTCCAGTTGTCAAGTAGCTCACATTCTAGAGGGAGATAACACACAAACCAACAATCAGCTATGTAGTATGTCATCTGTGCATCTTAGAAAGCATGCAGTTGGGAAAAATTCAGGCCAAGTAAAGGGACTAAACACTGGAGTGCACCCCCAACCCCCAAGTTAATGTTGCTTTCTCTTCCAAGATGCTCATCTTCTCAGACTCACTGGAGTTCTAACTTTCTTAAACTGTGAAATGGGAAAAATAATAATGGAATTGTGTGCGATTTTTATTTATTTGCTAACATTCAAGGTTAGACATTTTCCAAACATTGATTTGTTTAGAACTTGAAAGCAAAGAGAAAAAGGCAAGACTGCCAGAAGGCTTCCTGATTTAACATTGACATAATGTTTTAAAATAGTCCAAAATTATTGGCTTTAGTGCAATGAAATAAGACTTCATTGAAGAAAATATTTATAAACACAAATATGGACAGTAGGAAAAAAAGTAATGGTAGAGACTCTCAGGAGGTCCCCAATGTAGTTGAGGTTCTACTTGTCTGTAGCCACGGTAATTATGCCGCCTCTCTGCCTCTGTTTCCTTGTCCATAAAACGTTGCTAGCAAGCCATCCGTTCTCTACTTCTTCTCTCCCAGAACACGACTACTCCCACTTCTGTTTCTGAGAACTGAAACACTGTCTGTTGCATTTATTTCTGTTCTGATTTTTTTAAATCTGATGTTGAACTATAGCAATTTCCTTTTTAGATATGGAAGTCTCCTCTGCAATAAAGTGTAGTTCCCGTTCCTGCTCATCTTTCTTTTTCTGGAATGGGAAGGAGTTAGAAAATCTTGATAACCCAATAAAAATTGTCATCTCTCCCTGCCTCACTTCTTCGACTGATGCTTTGAAAGTACATAGGTCACTATTTTGGCATATATTTTAAAATGATCAATAACATGGTATTATTGGAAAATCACCAAGTCATTTCAAAATTGAATGGAATATTAACGTTGCATGTTGAGATTTTATTCAAACATGGAGTTTTTTAAATCCTGTTTGATGCTTTTAATAGAAACTGCTTTGTAATAAAAACAAACTTGTATTTTTTCAAACACCTTCACAATCATTTCAATTTATTAAAAGGAAGGAGATGGAGCCTGAAAAACAATCATTTTTAAATATTGCTTTAAAAATTATTTTAATTCAGGTAATGGTTTTCCAATGCCATCTTTTGTCTTACATTAAAGAAAACATTGCTCTTGCTTTATTAAAAAAAACAAAAACATTTTCACTAGATGGCCTCAGTTTTTGTTTTCAGTATTCCTGCAGGCATAGTCAGATGGCAAAATTAGCTGGCACATGCCCTGGTATTTATTGAATCATTCTCTAATGTCAAACCCTACAAGAAAATAGTCCAGAATTCTGCACATAAGTTTCTTTTCTGAGATTCTGGGGAGAAGTGATCTGTAAGAGCATACTGTTACCCAGTGACTGCAGACTGAAATCCTAGAGACTACTTTTAGTATTTGCCAAACAATCAGGAGCATTTGCCAAGGAAATCTTAGTGGTATGTTCGCCATAAAAAAAAATTACCCATGACAGAGCCTTGAACTCTCCCCAGAGCCTTCAGAGAAGAGCTGATCAGCTAGACTTCCTTGCAGATCACCTAATTATGCTTTAATCTTCATTTTTTTAACCAATAACAGGTATTTGTTTATTACAGTCGGTGGTACCTATTGATATATGTGTTAATGGCACCAAGTGTTCATATTTAAAGTTCTCCTTTATCATTTCTACAGGTGCCAACCTTCTTGGTACTCTGCTTACTTTGCCCTTCTATCCCTAGCCCACACCAAGTCACCAAACTCTAACCCATTCCATAACCTGCTGTGAGATTTACCTTCCCTTAACTCCCTTGCATCATGCCCCAAACCTTAAAGAGCTCTCAAATGCTCCAATGATAATATCAATATCTATTCCTCTTACCCAGACATTCCACTGGATAATCTCCATGGTCTGAGATCAACTTTGAAGCTTTTACCTTCACCTGACCTCATCCGGTGGCCTAGGAGTGTACACTGTCCATCCAACTCTTACCCACTTTTCACGGTACTTCAAACCATGCTTTCAAACTTTCCTGGACCATTCTAATTTATAGTGACTTGCCCCCTACCTCTAACTACCTAGACTACCTACTCATTTGAGCCCTAAGTCATATACTCACATTGACAATTGATAGCATAAGTGCTTAATAGTTAATAACATGGAATCATTGAGATGGAATGAACTTTAGCTATCATCCAATTCAGCACATCCTGAAACATAGGGACATATCCCCTCTTCCCCCAACGCTGACTGCCAAGGTGCTATGGTTCCAAATGTGGTTGTCTCATCTGTGAATTATCCTTCTCATTGGAGGCATCTGCTTTGAAGAAAAACCCCTCTATCCTAGCCCAACCAGGTGAGAGTCTAATGCCAGGAAAAAAAAAAAAAAGAATAAAAGAGATGAGGATGGGGGAGAGAATCCTCTTGCTCTCCCGTGAAAGAGATTTCTCTGAGCCCAACTGAAATCCCTCCTGCCTGTTTTCTAATAGACCCATTGTAAGCCTGGCCCACAGATCTGCCTGTCAGGATCATGTGGCAACTTGTTCAAAATGCAAGTTCCTGGGCCCCAGCCCAGACCACCTAAACTGGAAACTCTAAGGGAAGGTCTCAAGAATCCGAATTTCTCCGAGTTTAAGAAGGACTGTCCCTGCCTTAAGAAAATAGCTAGCCACTCTGTCTCTTCACCTGATAGTAGCCTTAAGGCTGAGAAGCGGTGCACACTGTATCTTTGCACATGTTAATATGGTGAGTGTCACTACACCCATCTCATAAATATAGTATTTTGCCAACTATCTGGATAACCACACATGCCACGTTGGACAAACCAGGTGAAGGCACAGGTATAGGTGAATCCAAAGTCTTCAGATCTTACACTCAGGCGACCGCATGAAAACCCCCCTTTTAAAACAACCGCATGACCGTTTCATGTCCTTAAAACAGTTAGCCGGAAAAGGTTTCTGTGGTTTGCTCCCCAAGTGGAGCTGGCGACGGTCCTATACGTGGGGCGGAGCAGGCAGAGGGGGCCGGGGGAAGACTCCCAAGACTCCCAGCTGGATTTTGTGTGGCTGCTTGATAGTATTTTGCCCCTCCAGCAAACACATACTCTCGTTTGTTATGAAAGTAGTTTGTAGACAGAGTCACAGAAAGAACTTGCAGAAGGGAGGGGGAAAAACGCGCCCAATTTAAAAAAAAAAACCAAAAAACAAAACAAAACAAAAACACAAAGGGTCTTCCCCAGAGGAAAAGAAACCGCGCTGTTTGTCTTTCTGTAACTGAGCAACACCCCGACGAGCAGGGCGCCTGTGCCTTCTGCGGTTTTTCTAGTTCTGGGCGCGGGTTCACTTCCACCCTGTTGACAAACCCCCCTGAAGTGCGAACCGGGCGGACGGGCAGCCTCCCGGCCGCCAGCTGCGCGCGGGCCCCTGTTTCGGGGGATCCCTGCCCCGCGCCGCGGCCCGCGCGCCCCCTCCTCCAACCCCGGGCCGGGCCGGGCGGGGCGGGGCGGGCCTCCCCGGGCGCTGCGCTGCGCTGCTCCGCGCGCGCTGTAGGGGTCGCTGCGCCGCGCCTGGCGCCCGGCGCCTCCCGGCGAATAACGGGGCCGGGCGGGAGGAGAAAGGAAACCTGCCGCGGGAGGCGGCGGCGGGCGGGCGCGGGCGCGGGAGCCGAGAGTTCACTTTTGCTCGGGTGTCAGCGCGAGGCGGCGGCAGCGGGCGCCGGCGAGTGAGCACCGAGGGAGCGGGTCGCCCATCTCGGGGCGACCGGGGAAGGGTGACCAGGGGCCGGATACGAGCGCGCCGGCCGGGCGCGGAACCGGAGAGCCTGGCCAGCGAGGGGACCCGCGGGGGCGCGCCCCGGGCGGGCCCCCGGAGCTACGCAGGATGCCCCACGAGGAGCAGCCGTCCCTGCAGAGACCCCGCTACGGCTGTAAGTGCGCCGGGCCCACTGGGCTCTCGCCGGCCTTGGGGAGCCCCGAAAGACGCGTGGGGAGCTGGGTGCACGCTGCGGAGCGAACGGGAGGGCAGCGGCTGTAGAGCTGGCAAAGTTGGGAGCGGGAGTTGCAAAGGGTGGTGGTCAGAGTGGTCCCGCGCTTCTCTCCCCAATTCCTGAATCCCAGCTGGCAACTCCAGCCCTGGACCCCGCGCACCCCACCGGGGTGCCCCGGGAGCGCTGGGTGTGCGCTCTGGGACAGACCAGGGTGGGGGGGCTCCGAGTGTGTCTATCAGGTGAGGAGCTCCCGGCTGCTGCCCGCTCGGGCCAGGGGGTGGCGTCAGGGGCCGAATTCTTCCCACTCAGAGTGGGAGGAAAGTTTGGTTGCTGCGGCTACAGGTGGGCACTTCGAGTGGTTGTGCCCGCGCTCTGCAGGGAGCAAAGTCAGCCTCCGCGGAAGGGCAGGCGTCTCCTGCTACCCGCCTCGGCGGAACTGCCGCAGGAGCCGGTTTGAACTCCACAGGTGTGTCCTTTCCAGGTGCGGCCGAAGGGGCCCTTGGGCTCTAGCCCATCTCCTCCCCGCCCCCCAGGCCCGTGCTGCGCGCGCGCAGCGAGAACTGCGGCACAGAGCGGGAGCGGCGCTGGGCTCCCCGGGGTTTGGTGGGAGCCCTCGTGACTTGAACGAGATGGTGTCGATTACCCAGGGCTGCCCTCAGAATGAGGTTGCTCTGCTGGTGAGTGGATGGAGCTAGATTAGGACCAACCAACCAAGTGGCTTTATGTGTAGAGTTCAGAGTCTTTACGAAACATGTGCCAGGAAGTATTTCCTTTAAAACAAACAGAAAGTTGGCTCGCTCTCTCTTTTCCTTCAGGGTTGGCCCTGTCACTGAACCTATGGCCGAGGGCCACAGGTTAATTTTTTGCCCAACCTGCCCTTGGTCAAAGGTTCCAGGTTTGGGTTAAGTTGGTGATACCTGCAGCGGAGTGGGTTAGTGTGTGTGTATGGGGCGGGGTGGGGGCGGTTTCCGGATGGTTGGGAGGGCCACACTCTTGCCCTAATTAAAAAAGGGGAGTAGTCAACTTGAGTAACCCTCCTCTTCCTCCACACCAGTCTTGGAATGCAGTGTCAGATGGGAAGTTACTTTCACCGTGTAACCCTTTTGGTGTCAGGCAGTGAGGAGACCAGAGGAGTCAGTTGCAGCCTCTGTACTATAGGGAAATGCATTTAACCCAGAACCTAGCTCTTTGCAAACTTAATTAGTTTGCTCTCTGGTGACCACACAGATAGCAGAGCTCCTGGGGCCCAAGGCGGAAGGATGTGCTCATCCAGTGTGGGTAGTGTCAACCTCTGGTTGGTGAAAGTCCTTTATTTATGTGGCAAGACCCCAGAATATACTTTAGCTTCAGTGTGTCCAATTATACGTGACCTCAAAGTTTGGAAACTAGGTGAATGTACATAAAATAGTTTTTGGTATCACTTTTCAAGCCATGATCAGTTTGGTATATTTCCTCAGTGTTTCAATGTGCATTTTCACGGGTGCAGTGAATGGAGTGCATGCATGCATGCATGCAGTATTTTCATCCATCTCTGCATGGGCATCTGTGACGATGCTTAATATGCTTTTAGTGCAGTCAAGGTGGCTGGGAACCTGTTTGCAAGAAGAGCAATCTGCATGGCCACTTTGCAAATCATTGTTGAACTTCTCTCACATGTCTGGTGTAATGGACTGATGTGCCATCCTGTTGGACTCATTCCCATTTAACCTGCTCCCACTTCAAGTGCTGGCATTCTTTGGCCATTTAACATAGTAAAAAATGGAAAATAGATGGTTTCCGGGCTTTATGGCTACTCTAGATTATTAAGGCTTTAATGTAGTTGCCTGTTATGTTCACACAATGAGCTTTTCTCTGTAATTTTAATACTAGATTCATGAATAGTATGTGTTCATACCTTATTAAAATGATAATCAAGTTGGATATATCTTAGTGTTTATAAGTACTATCCTATATTGACTCTTTATCAAAAAGGGACTATATGATGTGTCAGAGTATATCATTTCTGGTAGTGATTGACTTTCTGAACCTTCTGGCAACACAAGCCTGAAAATAAAGGTACAAGTCCTTCCCAGGGAGGCGGGAGAAGGGTGACGCAGGGTTGTCTTTGCTGTGTTCCATTACAGGGCTGTGGATTTTTTTTTTTTTTTTTTAATCTCTTGGTTTGGTAAGTACAGGTCCAATAAAATCGCATGCTACACTAACCAGGCTTTATCCCCAGCATTTAAAAATAAAGTAATTCCTTATGCATTCCCTGTATATCCTATATATTCTAATTACAGCTTCATTGTTGTATATTCAGAGTTAAAAATATTTAAGACTTCTTTAAAAACAACTTTTGGGTAGTCTGGATTAAGTTGGTTAGATTTGTTTTCTGTCTGGTCTTTTGTTAATCTCTTTCTCCCCTTGAATTGTTTGATTTGGTCATTCTTATACAAAGTAAATGAACTCAGCTCAAGACTGCTAGGGTTCTCTCCTCTTTCCAGGTGAGTGTCTATAAAATACCATGTAGTAAGTGGTACTTGAGGGATTGCTCAGTGCGTTCTCCATGAAGGCTCCCTTCTCAGATTTCTGACAGGAGGCATTGCTTAAGTTTCTGATTGGCACACAAGACCACTGAAATGAAATAGACCACTTTCTATTCAATTACTGTCACTTCCCTGTTGACCACATCTTTCTGCAACCTATAAAGTTTCTGTGTGTGATATTACTACAGAACTAAAATGAAATACCAACTGAGTAATGCAATAACGCAAATATCTTTCTAAACTCAAAACCAAATTTAAATGACACTTATGCTTAGGTATGATTTGAAATAACTTATGCTATTGTAATAAACTTTGATGTACTTGGCAGAGTAATTCTGAAAATATATTGCCACCATCATCTGTCAAAAGTTTTGTGCTAGCTATTACTTAAGAGTAAAAAAAGACCAGTAGTAGCAAAAGGGGGGGCGGGGGCCTTTGTGACTAGACTTAACAAGTTTCATTCATCACAGATAATCCACTCCATGTTGAAATGCCTACTGTGGGTTAGTGATCAATGTGTGTAGAAAGAATTATGGCTTCCTACCCTCTGCAAAACTTCTTTCATGGGAAACCTTGTAAAACTAAAAGTAAGCAGTGTTTCAGGGTTTGCTTCTTTTTAAAAATGCATCATAAGCCTGGCATCCTGTATGTTTTTTGGGGGAAGTTGTGGCTGATGTTGTGAGTGCTTGTCTCATTGGTGAGCCTTCTAAATCTCCTGGTAACTGGAGTACTGGGGTGGACAACATAAACTCATTCCAGTATTGACTCAAGATGAAATTTACATTCTGAACTAGTTACGACTCGGGTCTATAAAGCAGGATTGAATACATACGGTCAGCACAGATGACTCAGCAATTCTGTCAGAACTGGGGAAGGTTTGGGATATATGCAGTGTTGCATGGGAAGCTGTCTTTTGTAGACAAAGTCAAGTCTCTTCTTCATGTGCTAATGTTTTGGTTGAACGTTTCAAAAGGAACTTCAAGGTCAGCAGCTAAAGTGTTGTTTTAGTATACTTTTAACTTTAATTACACATGCTGTTAGCCAAAATGACGTGTTCGGGTGAGCTTCAACTTGTAATACCAAGTTCATCTTGGAATTTAGTGTTATTTACAGTGTTAGCTAACACCTTTCCCCCTCTCATTTACTGTTACTCCTCAAACTTTAATTCCACATTAAAACCAACTTTATTTAAAAGGCATATATCGGAACAGAGTGACACCAAGTCTTCATGGTACTGGAAGAAGAAACAGAGGCCACCCAACTTCTGATTTGATAGTTATGTCCACCAGGGTAGAAAGTCCAGCATGGGAGGTAGAATTAAGGTTTATGAATTTACCAAGTCTGGGTGTTTTCAGTTGTTATTACCATCAGCTCATTGTTACCTTTGGGTAGGCCAGTGGTTTCCCCATTTCATAAAGAAGCTGAAAGCCATGATGTTGTCTCAGGTGCACACAGGTAGCTAGGGACAGAGGGAACTTGGAATTCGGGGCTGTCAGACCCTCAACTCTGTTCTCACCAGCTATTGACACTGCCTCCCTTGAATCAGTCCTAAGGATTTCTTTCTGTTTCTGGTGTTTGTCATGATGTTATCAAACTGTGGAAACCTGAAGCTTTGGGCTAGCTTGCTCTTTTAAAAACAGATGATGTATGGCATTCTTTAAATTTGATTTTCCTTTTCTTTTTCTCCCTCAGGGAAAAGTATAGAAGAATACATGGGCTTTTTATTTACTACATCCAAGCTTCGTCAAAAGACTTTATGTATAGGTAGAAACATTCCATCTCATTGTGAGTCACTGAAATGAAAGACTTCCAGAATAACATAGTGGCATGCTCCAGTGATTTCAAAGAGGATAATTTCTAAAACTCACCTTATGACATAGACTGGCAATTCTTTGACATCTGAGGTGGATGAGAAATCAGGTATAAAGTTTATAGTGGGGTGACTCATGAGTGAGTTGAATCTTACACTTTCCCCTTCTATTTTGCTTTTCTCCCTTGATGTGACATGACAAAAGTTTTGAAGGTGCATAGATGTAGAATTGAATGCTAACTTGACCACTAACTACTTGAGCAGCCTTGGGGCTTTCCCCTGTGCCTCGAAGGGTGCTGTGTTATGTTCCTATAACGGTGGTTAAAGTGGTTCCTGGCACATAGTGCTAAACCAATTGCACTTCTTTCAATTAACTGAGCACCTAATATGTACAACACATTGTGGGTGAAGGGAAAATGACTTAAGCCAGATCTCACCAGGGAAGTTGAAAAATAAAGAGTAGTGATTATATTTAGCACACTTCTAAGTTCTGTGAAAGTGAAGGCGTGAAAGTAATGGATTTGAATAGGGCAATGACTATAGATAGTGTCACCTCTTTTTCTTCATTCTCTCCATTATTTGTGGCACTTTTTCTCAAATTTCACTGGAGGTTTATTGCCCTCAGATAACAGTCATATCAGTTTTGTTGGAAAACGACTCTTGCCATCTTGCCAGGGCAAGAGCAGGTGCTCAGATTTGAAAGGCATTCCAGTATATTTGTTGTGTGGATAGTTTGTTGTATCTGTTGATAAATGGCTTGGAAGGGAGGTGCAGCTGGAAGGGATATATCATGGAATTCTTTATTTGTAGATAACAGAAGGCAGTTAGAGTTGTCTTAAGGAGAGTAGTCATGGCCTAAAGAAGTGGGAATGATGGGAAGGTTAGGTGTGCTTGGAGTGCTTGGTGCTGGAAACAGCAGGAGGGTGAGGTTTGGGCATGTGTCCTCTCCCTGGGCTGCTCAGAGGCCCCTTTCCCAGGCTGTGGGCCTGGGACTTTTGCTGTGCTGTTCAGTTGTGCTCAGGATAGGCCAGAGGTGACTGAATAATGATTGTGTTTGTGGGACTAGAGGTATTCAGCGATTACAAAGAGATGATGTAGGCAGGGGCCCTTGCTGGAGCTTTGCAGAATCCAGTCAGGCAGACAACG